ATGGTTGACCTGGAACTTCAATAGGCAAATTGATTGGGATCAGGTGCATTCATCTGGGACAACGTCTTCTATAGCTAAATCTTTTCCATGACTTTCAAACAAACAAAAGTGCAACCTATCGGGCGAAATTTGGCCGGTCCCTTTTGGGGTACTGGCATGATAGAATCCACTCTCCAGCAGTCCGAAATGCAATGTTGAATAAAACACTGGTTGAGTAAGTCGGTGAAAACAGGGGAAATGGAAACTGCACATTCCTTGAGCACAAAAGGGTGTAGTTTGTCAGACCCCTGCTTGTCAGACTTCAGATTGATGAAAGTTTTGAATACCTCTACTTGATCAGTAACTCAGTTAACAATAGTAGGAGCAGGGACGACTGCTGTGAATGGAATAGGGATGTCGGTTTCAGCATTGCTGAATTGGCGATTGAGATCGTCCACATTGGAAGCTGGATGATTTTCCTTCGTTTTGAGACCGCAGAACTGAAACATCATTTGCCATGTATCCAGACAATTCCTGTTTGTCATCAGTGTTTGTGCATAAGCGGCTCTCACTCTCCAAAGTTGAGCCTTGATTGCCTTTGAATGGTCTCTCACCAAAGAGTACATTTATTGATTTGAAAGCTTGTTCTTTCTTACAACGTAATCGTCTAAGTTTAGGGGATGAAAACCGGTCTAACCGTATGTATAAAGTTTCCCACATGTAGCATGTATCATAAGAGAACTTCAAATATTCAGTCAGGGTACCACAAAATATAGATAGATGGGTTATTATGTACAAATAAAGAAAAATCTGTCTGATCTTATATATCTCAGTTTGATGAGATTTTCGGGTTGACATTGACGCCGACGAAGACGACGATCATGACGCTGGGTGTATAACTGACGATTGAATCTACTGTAGATCGTGGGAGATTTAATAATAAAATCAGGTCGTTAACGAAGCACAAATCAAGACAAGCCTCGAGTGTGGTCGGAAAGTGAACAACGTTCTGTAGTCCAAGGGTTGTCAAAAATGTGACATCAAACCTATTGAAGTCACCACACACAATGCAAGGGGAGGAGTCTACGTAAGTTAGTAAAGCGGCGAAGAAAATACCGGTGAACTCAATAAAATGATCAGTGGAACAAAAAGAAATGTAAATATTGCCAAAAAGAATATTTCGGTAGGTACTGAGGTGTTTAGGTCTGCATTTGTACAGTTAAGTAGTGATAAAAATGGTACAATACATATAGATTCGTCTGCTTGATTTGCACCAATTGTCACTTATGTATGTGATAACACCACCGCCTCGTTTGTGAACCGGAACGGGTCGGTCAACTAGGCAGATGGAAAAATTGTCAGTTTTGACCACGTTTCCTGAAGCATTACGACTCCAAACTTTGAAAATTCACGTCTCCTTGTTAGATCTATTACTTCTGCTATATTACCAAGCAGGGAGAGCAAATTTTCACTGATGACTGCTGGAATACAGATGTTTGAAACTGATCGTTTTCATAGTCCGACCTGCCATCAAGCGCTACGTTTTCTGCGAAATTTCTTGAGCTTTCCTTAATTTTTCTTCTCTCTATATCACGAACCGATTTGCCAAAAGAAGGTAGAATCCAGTGACCGCGAATCCGAAGTTGCTCCATGAAAACGGCAGAGTATTTCACAGAATTTAGAATGACCATAATTACACAACGTTTCTATGACAACAAAGGACGTGTATCCCAGATAAAATCCGGTGAAGCGTGCTTGTGTATTTCCAAGTCCGACGATGTAACGGACCGCGCGGCCAAATTGATAGGCCCCGCCAGTGTTGCCATGAATCGCTTTGCTTCGCTATTTTATCCTCATCATCATCGCCGTCCGTGTTTCAACTGCCTCAAGTGGATTCTGTTTCTCCGCATCAGTCACTGGTTAGTTAGAATTTCCCGTTTCAATGAAACACCACTTCTCTGTTAATCCTAGCAACTGTATCTACACCATGTCAACAGTTGGACGTTCATTCACTGAGTTGCATGAAACGATTACTTGAATTGTTTCGGCTGAGTAAGCAGAGCAACTTTCCACCGTCTCCTTGATACCTCTTCCAGATGCCCATGCAGCTTTCAATCCATGATTAATGGTGAAGCGATCTGCTGCAATGGCAATGCATCGCATTTGGGAAGAACGCATGTATGAGTGTACTTTTGCGAAGCAGACGTTTACTCGAGATGGTCCCATAACAGTGGGTGGTCTGTACCGTAGTTTGAAAACCGGCAACAAAAGAACTGTTACCATTCATGCCACATTTCTTAAGAATCCCCTTCAAATGTTTGAACGCGCTTTCTACCTTCTTTTTCCACTGGTACTGGGAAACTTAAAACTACCATCTGAGAACATTTAGGTAGACATTCTGCATCGTGCAAAATGAGAGTTTACTTTGATAATGATTTATGCATTTGTATTAGATAACAGTAGAATAACATCACAGACTATACTATCGTAGTCAACGGTTTCTTAGGAAAAAAAATTGCCGAGACCGTCGTTTGTCGTGGTTGATCTGATATATCAGCGTTTATGGTTTTCATCTGATGCTGCCGACTGGTCCCTGGATAGTGTGGCTCATGATTAAGTTTCCGCCATCCCCATGCCCTTATTCCGTTCTTGATGTGGTTTATGATTGCAATTTTGCAGACGTACTGATGTCGATCGCAGTGGTGGTAGTGGTTCCTCATTCATAATCATGATCAGTGACTTGTGATTGTAGTACGCGTGATTTGACTGTATATGTCTTCACTGAGTTTCTTCAATGAACACTCAATGTGAATTGTATCTGAACTTACCTAGAAGAGAGTTAACTTTCATACAATCATATACGTAGTTATTACGAGATAACATTCAATGAAGTTAGTGTAAAATCCCTCGAGTATCAGCTGAATTGCATGAACATCAATCCCTTCAAATTTGTCAAAACCGGGAAAACTCTCAGAGGCGGAAGCTTCTTCTTATGCCGAGCTAACCAATGTTAAAACTTCTTACCTGTTCTTGAGGTTCTTTCCAAATTAAAATTTTGTTTCAGGGATAAATAATAACACGAGTAGATTTTGACATGTGAGCATGAGAAAAAAAAAGTACAATAGATGGTAAAATGAAGATAACCAAAATTGTCTGTTATCACGTGATTCTTCTGATTGGTTGAAAGGAACCGGTTTTGAATCTTTGAGTGCACCGGTAAGGAAAAAGTAATATGGCACTAGATGAAGCTGAAACTGATCACCATCGGAGCTAGGTGGCGGTGAAGTTGGAATCGAAACTTCATAATTTTAATTCCAGAACGCATCAAACAACCAGTTGAAATGGGCATCTCTGAAAATACAAAACAGAACCGGACAACCTGTTTTATACACATTCCACGTGGGTCTTTCGTTTCGTGTAAATCTCGATGAGATCTCGATGATTCAACTCAAAATGAAATTGATCATTCAACATTCTCATTGAACTCATAACTTTGCATTCTATAACTCATATCTGGAAAGTATTGAAAATTCGTATTCATCAATGACACACTTCAGGTATGGCAACTGTTGATTGATGCCGAGTGTGGAATAAAACTGTCCACCCCAGTTCGGAAACGCCTAGCCACCACGGATCTGGGCCCGAAAGACGAGACTTGGAACGAGTTAGGCTTAAAAACGGTCAGTCATCCGGATCCTCTCATCCAAGTACCCACAGTCGCATTGGCCTCAATGCAAAAGACGAAGAGTAAAAGTGAACTGATTCAACAATATGTAGCCAAAGCAGAACGAAGGGAGCGTTTGCAAAAGCAACAACAGGGAGAAGAGGACGAGCAGGCAGTGGATCAGTCGATCTCAATGGACGGGAGCTTNGGAGCTTGACGGTGTCGGACACGGCTGACCGAACCTCAAAGGCAGACCTGAACGAAGACCAACCGGGACCGCGTAGTTGTGATTTACAGATTGTGCTGGAGAAACCCGCAAAGAAACATCTGTGTATTGTGGGTCAGCTGGTTGATATAAGCGAACCACAAGAAGAGGTAAGATTGTTTATCCGGGATTCTTTTTTCCGTCTGTTTTTATCTCCGAAGTTCAACCCAGTGGAAGTTTGCCAAAAATCAATACGTTTGAACCAGCTACTTTGCACAACCCAAATGTTGTCTTAAAGTGTTAGCCTACATATGTCTAGAAAAGCAGGAATTTCATTCTATATGAAAAAGCTAATATGGCTTTGTGCTTGTTGTGGCCTGCAGTCGCGTGAAATGTTTACCGCACATCACGCGACCGACCGTAGCAGCCTGCCTACACATACGTACGCACCTCGTGCAGACTTTCTCTGCTACAAGGTCGATCCGCCTCAGCGAATCAGAGGTCAGCATTGACCTGTCCGCATTGATTGATTCGTTGACTGCCCAAAGTGGTGACCTACTCCTTCTGATAACGGTTGCACCAGATTTTGTGTCTGCCTGTCTGCGTGTTGACTCACTGCTTGCTCACCGGTTTACGGACTGGATACACTTACATTTACATACTGGAAATAGAACCACTACTTAATTCACACCTTGCGTACTTATTGACTTATACGGGATACTGCAGTGATCCTCAAGTATCCCATACTTCGTAAACAGTTGGTGATTTTACCAATTCGAATTAGAATGAGCTGACCACGGCGGTCTCAACTTTTATATATACGCCAAATCTGCAATAATGTGTGTTTAACCTGAGCTTTGCGTTTTTCGTTTGGACCGTTCGATGTGAAGTGGTTCCTAATATGTCTACAGTGGAAATCTAGTTTGTTTTTCTGGAAAAGATACGGAAATTGCTTTTTGGATGCTTGACATTTTTCACTTAGTCAGATAGACAAATCAAATGCGTAGTACTACGAGATGTGACCATTCCGATCATTTTATTTGTAGTTACCGTATTTGTATTTACCTTTGCATTTTCGGACAGTACATACTAAACAAATAAATGTTCCCTGCTGACAAAGACCAAAGTAATTTCAATGCGTTTTACAAAGATTATCAATAATCTTTGGGTATTTCGCGTAATCATCGTACCATGAACAAACTTCTAAGGATACCTTCCCCGTTTCAAAAATGATTTACTGTCACATGGAATATGGATGTATTCGATCAGGTGATGTGTTCGACAAACGGTGCGAACCAATAAACAAAACAGGATTAAATGCCACATCATTGTCGAATACAACGGTTCATCGCTGAAGTTCTTCAAGTCATCAACTCTCAGTAGCGCGATAGGTAGGGCATCTGTGTGAAATGTAGTATAACTTTGGAACAGAGTCTTGCAGGAGTACTGGACTGGTGGCAACACCTAATCAACCCAGTGAAACACAATTTGATGGGGCTAATGCGGGAGTTCCCGCTTCCCTTAGCACCTGAAGGCTGAAGACCTAATGTAATAACCGAAACTAGTAATGGTTCTAGTTGTACTTAGTCCGACCCCTCCCCCCCCTGCGTACCGAGACGCAAGGAAAAGTCAAAATAAATTACCGATTATTTTGTTGAATGAAGTTAAAGCGATTAAATAGCACGCACAAAAGAATACCGTCGGCTAAACCAGTTTAGCCGTTTTCCTAGAGCGTTGAATGACTGCGTCTAATCATGAGTAAGACTGAATGTTTAAGATTGCAGTATTCTAAGGCAGAATAAAAAAAATTAAACTATGCCGATAAGCGTTGTTCAATGATCTATGAATGAGCTGGTTTGTCACCATCAAATGGTATATGCTACTTCCCAGGAAGGAGCAATCACTTAGGCTTTGAAAGGTGTATCATCATACATCATAAGGATTTCGAGAAAACTCAGTCCGGACACGTGCCAAACAACGCTTCATCAAGAGTGAGTACGATAAAATACACCACAAGATGTAAAATGAGACTAAGACTATCCAAGTAGCAATGCCTAGCGTTTTATTGATCATTAATTACACCAATTAGTAAGAGAACCAGAACAATAAAATGCAGCTCAGTTGGCAGTACTTCCGAATTTCACGCTACACTATCGAATGATGCGTAACAATCCAACATGCTCCAGCATGGCAAATGGTTTGTAAAAGTGAATTGCTAATTCGGATACAAATAAGATAATGTACTACGAAACGTACACAAACTAATGGATAATTCCGTAGAACCAACGCATCAGAAAGCCTAAACAACAAGTTGGTTGAAAAACAACGACCCCAAAGATGCCTGTGTGCACACAGGAACATAATATGGTGTTGACGAGAGAGCACAACAAAGCAAGGTTGCACGATTTATGCTAAGGCAAATTTTCCTGTATATCAATGGTTACAGTAGGGCAGTAGGGCAGTGCATCAGTGACCCCACAAATGTGAGAGGGTTGAATGATCACCCTGTTAGGACTGTCAAGGCAGTCACAGCCGGACTGACAGCATTCTTCACACAGGCACACACGGGATAGATTTCCGTCGCTGAATTGCCAAAACTGTGAGCCTGAGAGGCCAAGAGTTGACTTGAACCTCAAACGACCATAAATCAGGTTTTCAGGTTCGGGTCAGGACACGTCATCATGTCGTAGGTTGTGTGACGATTCCGTATAAAGCTGCCCGGTTTAGAGATATGTGTGTGTGTGCACGTGTGCGTGTGGATAATCTCTGTCAGTGACTAATCGATTGCGACTTTGCGTGTCCCATCGGTAAGGTTTGTGCCCAATGGGTGAATGAGTGAAGCCTGAGGCACTCTTGGCTGTGAGTTTCACTCATTTGGAAATCGTTAATTCCCCTCAATTTCATGCATTTATTTGTGATGGAAATGGTTGTGATAACCGACAAAAAGCACTGTACAGCTGTTTCGTCCTGTTTGGGACTCATCAACAGTGCATACTTTTCGTCTCCCTGCCAAGATTTGAACCGTAAACATTCGGGT